ATTTAAAGTTAGGGGCGCATATAGCCTCATTAGCTGATTACACAGCAAAGTGATGCGTGATCAGCCATAAATATAATGGCTTTTGTAAAAAGATATATAATAATTTCTTAGAGCTGGGCTACCGAGGTAATACTTGTTTGCATCCTTGATTATAATGCATGCATATGTTTATGGAGATTTAAGTGCAAAGGTCATTATATACATGATCAATAGGGGTTAAATGTTATGGGTCTCTCTCCTTTTTTTTATTCATTATTTATTAATTTTATTTCATGATTATATATTAGATACACTTAATATAAGTAATATTATACATGAATATTTGCAGGGTGTGTGTGTGTATATTATAAATATAATTATACATATATATGTAATGTCATTCTAAGTGTATTTTAATACATACATATACATATATATACACATACACACACACACACACACTTATATTAATATTAAAATACACTTTGTATGACGTTACATATAATATATATAAAATTTCTATTTTAATTTTACACATGTTTAATATTTTTTTTTATACTTCCCACCAGCATGGAGACTGACATTTCAGACAGTCCCTCTGCTGGCAGATCCACAGCCAGCTATAGGGGACCGTGTGATCGCTCTTTGAGATCGATCACATGGCCCCCGGGGGCCTCATTTGCCGTGGGAGGACTGCCTGGGCTGTCAAGCAGCCCTCCAGAAGAGGATCGCGGCAGAGGTAAGTCCACCTGACCTCCAGGGGCTGAATGCAGTTACGGAGTTACATGCCGCCGCAACGGCTTTAAAGCCCTTTTAATGCGGGACGCCATTGAACGCCATAACGGCGTTAAGGGGTTAATAAAGCAGTTTTTGTGTATAGGTCATGGCCCTGCACTTTAAGAGCTCAGTTCTCTGCCATTTAGGGGTTAAATCACTTTTGTTTCTGTTTATGCAGCCATAGCCACACCTGCCCTGGCTGTGACTGACACAGCCTGCTTGAAAAAAATAAAACTGGTTTCATTTTCAATAAGATGTAACTTTATTTAAATATTTTTATCTCCTGCTCTGTAAATAGAAATGTAATTACACTAAGTGATTTAGCCCCTTAAGGACCAAACTTCTGGAATAAAAGGAAATCATGACATGTCACACATGTCATGTGCCCTTAAAGGGTTAAAGGGACACTATAGTCACCAGAACAACTACAGCTAATTGAATTTGTTCTGGTGAGTAGAATCATTACCTTCAGGCTTTTTGCTGTAAACACTGTCTTTTCAGAGAATGCAGTGTTTACATTAAAGCCTAGTGATAACTTCACTGGCCACTCCTCAGATAATTGTTAGAGATCCTTCCTGGGTCATGGCTGCCTAAAATGCATCCAAACATTCAGTATCTCCTCCCTCTGCATGCAGACACTGAACTTTCCTCATAGAGATTCATTGATTCAATTCATCTCTATGAGGAGATGCTGATTGGCCAGGGCTGTGTTTGAATTGTGCTGGCTCTGCCCCTGATCTGCCTCTTTGTCAGTCTCAGTCAATCCTATGGGGAAGCATTGTGATTGGATCAGGCCACCACTTCTGATGATGTCAGAGGAAGTTCTCAGGCAGAGGCAGCACCTTCAGACTTGAATTCAAGTACGATTTTACTATCTTTAGGGAGGCAAAGGGGAACAAATAGTGGTTGTAACACTAGAGTGTCATGAATACAGGTTTGGATAGTGTCAGGACACAGCCCCTCAAAACCCACGACGCAGCCCCCTTCCCCTCCAGCCAGGACACAGCCTCCCCTTCCCCCTCCAACCCAGGACACAGCCCCCACCACCCCCCTCCAACCGGGACACAGCCCCCACCCGACAGTAAGTACTGTACACTCAGGTAGGTAGTGCTGTGACCCCCGCCAGTTTCCCATCACATCACATATCATGTTATATCACATCACATATCATGTTATATCACATCACATATCGTGTTATATCACATCACATCACATATCATGTTATATCACATCACATATGTTATATCACATATCATGTTATATCACATCACATCACATTATATATATCACATATAACATGATATGTGATGTGATATAATGTGAAATATATAATGAAATGTGATATATATAACGTGATGTAATGTGATATAACATGATATGTGATGTAATGCGATATATATAATGTGATATAACATGATATCACATCACATCACATTATATCACATCACATCACATATCACATTATATATTATATTATATTATTCGTATATATTATATCCCATCATATCATATCCCATCATATCATATGCCATCATATCATATGCCATCATATCATATCCCATTATATTATATCCCATTATATTATATTATATCATATCCCATTATATTATATTATATCCCATTATATTATATCCCATTATATCATATCCCATTATATCATATCCCATTATATCATATCCCATTATATCATATCCCATTATATCATATCCCATTATATTATATCCCATTATATCATATCCCATTATATTATATTATATCATATCCCATTATATTATCCCATTATATTATATCCCATTATATCATATCCCATTATATTATATTATATCCCATTATATTATATTATATCCCATTATATCATATTATATCCCATTATATCATATCCCATTATATTATATTATATTATATCATATCCCATTATATTATATCCCATTATATTATTATATCATATCCCATTATATCATATCCCATTATATTATTATATCATATCCCATTATATCATATCCCATTATACCATATCCCATTATATTATATCATATCCCATTATATCATATCCCATTATATCATATCCCATTATATTATATCATATCCCATTATATTATATCATATCCCATTATATTATATTATTATATCATATCCCATTATATCATATCCCATTATATCATATCCCATTATATCATATCCCATTATATTATATCCCATTATATCCATTATATTATATCCCATTATATTATATGCCATTATATTATATCCCATTATATTATATCCCATTATATTATATTATATCCATTATATCATATCCCATATCCCATTATACCATATCCCATTATACCATATCCCATTATACCATATCCCATTCTATCATATCCCATTATATTATATTATATCCCATTATATTATATCCCATTATATTACATTATATCCCATTATATTACATTATATCCCATATATTTATATCCCATATAATTATATTATATCCCATTATATTATATCCCATTCTATCATATCCCATTCTATCATATCCCATTCTATCATATCCCATTATATCATATCCCATTATATCATATCCCATTATATCATATCCCATTATATTATATTATATCCCATTATATTATATCCCATTATATCATATCCCATTATATTATATCATATCCCATTATATTATCCCATTATATTATATCCCATTATATTATATCCCATTATATCATATCCCATTATATTATATTATATCCCATTATATTATATCCCATTATATCATATATTATATTATATCCCATTATATCATATCCCATTATATTATATTATATCCCATTATATTATATCCCATTATATCATATATTATATTATATCCCATTATATCATATCCCATTATATTATATTATATTATATCATATCCCATTCTATCATATCCCATTCTATTATTATATTATATCCCATTATATCATATCCCATTATACCATATCCCATTATACCATATCCCATTATACCATATCCCATTATACCATATCCCATTATACCATATCCCATTATACCATATCCCATTATACCATATCCCATTATACCATATCCCATTATATCATATCCCATTATACCATATCCCATTATACCATATCCCATTATACCATATCCCATTATACCATATCCCATTATATCATATCCCATTCTATTATTATATTATATCCCATTATATCATATCCCATTATACCATATCCCATTATATCATATTATATCCCATTATATTATATCCCATTATATCATATCCCATTATATTATATTATATCATATCCCATTATATTATCCCATTATATTATATCCCATTATATTATATCCCATTATATCATATCCCATTATATTATATTATATCCCATTATATTATATTATATCCCATTATATTATATTATATCCCATTATATTATATCCCATTATATTATATTATATTATATCCCATTATATTATATTATATTATATCCCATTATATCATATATTATATTATATCCCATTATATCATATATTATATTATATCCCATTATATTATATCCCATTATATTACATTATATCCCATTATATTATATTATATCCCATTATATTATATTATATCCCATTATATTATATCCCATTATATCATATCCCATTATATCATATCCCATTATATCATATCCCATTATATCATATCCCATTATATCATATCCCATTATATCATATCCCATTATATCATATCCCATTATATCATATCCCATTATATCATATCCCATTATATCATATCCCATTATATCATATCCCATTATATTATATCCCATTATATTATATTATATTATATCATATCCCATTATATTATATCCCATTATATTATATCCCATTATATTACATTATATCCCATTATATTATATTATATCCCATTATATTATATCCCATTATATCATATCCCATTATATCATATCCCATTATATTATATCCCATTATATTATATCCCATTATATTATATCCCATTATATCATATCCCATTATATCATATCCCATTATATTATATCCCATTATATTATATTATATCCCATTATATTATATCCCATTATATTATATCCCATTATATTATATCCCATTATATTATTATATTATATCCCATTACCTCCTGCACACAGAGCTGCCCATAGGCCTCCTCCAGCTCCCGGAGCTCAGTGAGTGCGGACAGCTGCTCCATACTGAGCGCAGAGCTCCCACCGCCCGGGAGACCAGCTGAGCTGGAACCAGCCATGTTTACACAGCACGTCACATCCGGCTACCCAAAGAGGACCCCTCTACCCAGCAGGCAGCGCCGCGGACACCTATCGCCCATCGAGGACCCAGCAGGCAGCGCCGCGGACACCTATCGCCCAGCGAGGACCCAGCAGGCAGCGCCGCGGACACCTATCGCCCAGCGAGGACCCAGCAGGCAGCGGACCCCTCTACCCAGCAGGCAGCGCCGCGGACACCTATCTCCCAGCGAGGACCCCTCTACCAACAGGCAGCGCCGCGGACACCTATCGCCCAGCGAGGACCCAGCAGGCAGCGCCGCGGACACCTATCTCCCAGCGAGGACCCCTCTACCAACAGGCAGCGCCGCGGACACCTATCGCCCAGCGAGGACCCAGCAGGCAGCGCCGCGGACACCTATCTCCCAGCGAGGACCCCTCTACCAACAGGCAGCGCCGCGGACACCTATCGCCCGGCAGGGCAAGCCAGGCAGCGCCGCGGACACCTATCGCCCAGCGAGGACCCAGCAGGCAGCGCCGCGGACACCTATCTCCCAGCGAGGACCCCTCTACCAACAGGCAGCGCCGCGGACACCTATCGCACAGCGAGGACCCAGCAGGCAGCGCCGCGGACACCTATCGCCCAGCGAGGACCCAGCAGGCAGCGCCGCGGACACCTATCGCACAGCGAGGACCCAGCAGGCAGCGCCGCGGACACCTATCGCCCAGCGAGGACCCAGCAGGCAGCGCCGCGGACACCTATCTCCCAGCGAGGACCCAGCAGGCAGCGCCGCGGACACCTATCGCCCAGCGAGGACCCAGCAGGCAGCGCCGCGGACACCTATCGCCCAGCGAGGACCCAGCAGGCAGCGCCGCGGACACCTATCGCCCAGCGAGGACCCAGCAGGCAGCGCCGCGGACACCTATCGCCCAGCGAGGACCCAGCAGGCAGCGCCGCGGACACCTATCGCCCAGCGAGGACCCAGCAGGCAGCGCCGCGGACACCTATCGCCCAGCGAGGACCCAGCAGGCAGCGCCGCGGACACCTATCGCCCAGCGAGGACCCCGCTCTCAGAGCCTGGTTTGGCGCGATATGGCGGGCTGGTAATTAGCTGCAGACAATCCGCCTCCATCCTCCCGCCCTGCAGCTCCCACACATCGGGAACACGGAGCCCCGGCCACCCGGACAGCAACAGCATCGCCCCCAGGTAGGAGACCGCACCGCCCGGCCCGGATAGCCCCACACTGCGGGGGGAGAGAGTAACCCGGGATACAGGGGGTTAATACTGTGTGATAGAGAGTAACCCGGGATACAGGGGGTTAATACTGTGTGACAGAGAGTAACCCGGGATACAGGGGGTTAATACTGTGTGACAGAGAGTAACCCGGGATACAGGGGGTTAATACTGTGTGATAGAGAGTAACCCGGGACACAGGGGGTTAATACTGTGTGATAGAGAGAGTAACCCGGGACACAGGGGGTTAATACTGTGTGATAGAGAGAGTAACCCGGGATACAGGGGGTTAATACTGTGTGATAACCGGGATACAGGGGTTAATACTGTGTGATAGAGAGAGTAACCCGGGATATAGGGGGTTAATACTGTGTGATAGAGAGAGTAACCCGGGATACAGGGGGTTAATACTGTGTGATAGAGAGAGTAACCCGGGATACAGGGGGTTAATACTGTGTGATAGAGAGAGTAACCCGGGATACAGGGGGTTAATACTGTGTGATAGAGAGAGTAACCCGGGATACAGGGGGTTAATACTGTGTGATAGAGAGAGTAACCCGGGATACAGGGGGTTAATACTGTGTGATAGAGAGAGTAACCCGGGATATATAGGGGGTTAATACTGTGTGATAGAGAGAGTAACCCGGGATATATAGGGGGTTAATACTGTGTGATAGAGAGTAACCCGGGATATATAGGGGGTTAATACTGTGTGATAGAGAGAGTAACCCGGGATATATAGGGGGTTAATACTGCGTGATAGAGAGAGTAACCCGGGATATATAGGGGGTTAATACTGTGTGATAGAGAGAGTAACCTGGGATATATAGGGGGTTAATACTGTGTGATAGAGAGAGTAACCCGGGATATATAGGGGGTTAATACTGCGTGATAGAGTGATCCAGGATACGCGGGGCTAATACGATGTGATAGAGAGTAAACTGGGCTACACGGGGTTAGTACGGTGTGATAGTGTAATCCGGGATGCGCGGGGTTAATACTGTGTGATAGAGCGTAACCCGGGATACGCGGGGTTAATACTGTGATAGAGATAGTAACCCGGGATACAGGGGGTTAAGCACAATAATGCACTTTGTGTGGATTCTGATGGGTCCCCAGCTTCGGTGTATAGATGTTTTTGGGGGCTTGTTTACATATTGGGAGTTCCCAGGTCTGTTGACAAAACCCCAACTATGTGGGCATTCAATTTGTTTGTATTTATGTACATGTTAATGCAGGGTGCGGCTCTGGGCTCCTTGAATCCTGTGATGTGTTAATAGAAAGCTGAGGGCTGGGATTTGGGTTCATTGAGGTCTGTACACTGTCTCGTGCATTACTAATAGTATTTTAATTCTTTACAGTTGTTGCATTGAAGGATCCCATCCTTTCTGAACACATTCTTTGTACATCGCCTGCCTGTCTCAAAATGTTCCTTTACAACATCACCCTGCAGAGAGCTACTGGCATCAGCTTTGCCATCCATGGAAACTTCTCAGGTACGGGGGACCAGGGGAGATTAAACATGTCTGAATTATCCAAGTACACTGCTCTGTCTATTAATTCTGTTTGTTAATTGACGGTTCTTTCTGTATTCAGGAACCAAGTTGCAGGAGATTGTGGTTTCCCGGGGTAAGATTGTGGAGTTACTCCGTCCAGATGCCAATACTGGCAAGGTGCACACTCTTCTGACGGTGGAGGTTTTCGGGATTATTCGCTCGCTCATGGCGTTTCGTCTGACCGGAGGAACCAAGGATTATATTGTGGTGGGCAGCGACTCCGGGCGTATCATTATTTTGGAATATCACCCCTCTAAGAATATGTTTGAAAAGATCCATCAAGAGACCTTTGGAAAAAGTGGATGCCGTAGGATTGTACCAGGTCAATTCCTGGCTGTAGACCCTAAAGGCAGAGCTGTGATGATCAGTAAGTACAGTGCTTTCCTGGGGAGATTGCTTCTATGGAAATCCTACTTAGGTATACTTCCTGTATTGTCGTCAAAGCATACTGTCTGCATCCTGATTGTCAGCACACAGGAGCTCTGTGTCTATACCAGTATTGTGTGACAGCCCCTCCATGCTGGTATATGCTCCCACCAAGCCAGTCCCCAGTTTGTGCATATAGATCTTGGGATAAGAGCCCCTCTTAGTGCTTAGAATGCAGTCTGTAGTGTCTGCTTATCTGACATGCCTAGGTTTCTCATGCTGTGACCAGACGCTAATATTGCTGCTCTGTGTCCCAGCCTTTGTAAGCCCCTCCCTCTGGCTGCTGCACATGTATTTACGTCATGTGTTTTTCACCAGGTGCTATTGAGAAGCAGAAGTTGGTCTACATTCTGAATCGAGATGCTGCGGCCCGGCTGACCATCTCCTCTCCACTGGAAGCCCACAAGGCCAATACCTTGGTGTATCACGTGGTGGGTGTCGACGTGGGCTTTGAAAATCCGATGTTCGCCTGTCTGGAGATGGATTATGAGGTGAAGAATTTTGTATTGCTTATGGCCAGCCTGTTCAGACGAGAAGGATGAGGTTTCGTGTCTGGCTGTATACAGTTCAATGGCTCACCTCATTTTATTTAATTTGAGAGTTCTGGTCCTATTTCCTGTAGCTGTCCGTTTTAGAGCAGCGTCGGTTTAGAAATATTGGTGCTGTCTGAAATGAAAGGGTTAATTCATAGTGTCTGCAGTTTGAATGTGGAGCGTTTTCAGTATATTATTAAGTAAAGTGAACTTCAAATTTAGGGGCTGAGGAGCCCAATTGAAAAGCATAGCTGACTTTGTTTTTACAATTCACTGTCAGTTCTCCCTTTTAGTGAATAACATACGAGTTTAACCCCTTTGCTGCTGGAGGTGTAACTCCACCTGAAGTGTTGTCTATTTAGCATCATTAGTTCTTGGCATATTACTACCAAATAATATTTATTGGCCAATGAATAGCCATTGGCTGGACTGTTTGGAGTAACCCTTGTAATATCTGTGTGTTTTTGATTTCACTCCCTGTTCCTGTACAGAGTGTTCAATGTTTTGATATGAGATGGTGAATAGATGTTTTGCATCAAGTGATACACTGTCATTTAGATTCTGTCTGTACACTCCTTTCTTGGTACATGTGGTACTGGTAGCGGTTTTCCTGGCTGTAACATTTCTTACATAAGCAGAGACTCTGCATTCTGTGATTTATGCTTAAAATGTACTTTTATACATGTTTTCTTTAGGAAGCTGACAATGACCCCACAGGGGAAGCAGCCGCCAACACGCAGCAAACACTAACTTTTTATGAGCTGGACCTTGGGCTGAATCACGTGGTGCGCAAATACAGCGAGCCGCTGGAGGAGCATGGGAATTTCCTGATCACAGGTATAGACTTCCTCCTCAATCGGAGTCACAGGCCAATCTCTTCTGCTGTGTGCAAAGTGTCCTGAACCATTCCTGTGCATAATATGATGAGTTTTTATGTCTCTTCTCTGATAAATCATGAAGAGATTCTGATTCTGATCAGCTGCACACATTCTCTGTATAATTGGTCCCGCTGGAAGCTCACTGCTATCTGTAGGTCTAACCCAATGAATACTTTCCCACCATTTAGTTCCTGGCGGTTCTGATGGTCCCAGCGGCGTGCTCATCTGTTCAGAGAATTACATCACGTACAAGAATTTTGGAGACCAGCCAGATATTCGATGTCCCATCCCAAGACGACGGGTGGGTCTACTCTCCATAAAATACTTTATTTTGATCAATACTTTGATTTGAAAGATTTGTGATGAGTTTTCATGTCTCTTCTCTGACTCAGTCCCTGGAGAGGAAACCAAATCTCTGATGTCTTGCCTTAGTTTAGTAAAGTGGAAACACTGTGGTTGTGCAGCAGAGAATATACGGGCCTAATAGTCCATGTAATCCTTTTTCTCTCTTTCCCCTTTCTATATGTAGAATGATTTGGACGATCCTGAACGAGGAATGATTTTTGTCTGTTCAGCTACACACAAGACCAAATCGATGTTTTTTTTCCTGGCTCAGACTGAGCAGGGGGACATCTTTAAGATAACCCTGGAAACCGATGAGGATATGGTAAATAATTCTGTAGATCAGAAATGTGTTTAGAGCAGCCGGAATCATCAAACTGTTATCTCACGGACTGGGGGTGTGATGGGGCTACCTTTCTAATTGGCTCTTGCTTTTCAGGTAACAGAAATCCGATTGAAGTATTTTGATACGGTTCCAGTGGCAGCAGCGATGTGTGTTTTGAAAACGGGATTTCTTTTTGTGGCGTCAGAATTTGGAAACCAGTAAGTTGCATGTCTCCATTTTCATCTATTCACCCATGTTTAACCCATTATTGTGGTCGAGTTTTGTATACATGTCCAAGTTCAGAATCTTTAGTGAATCGAAGTGGTCACCAGACCTGCAAGGCACTGCTGCAAAACGGGGCAATGGTACTCCTAGTCACCCTGTAACTCCTCCACTTTTGGTCAGAATGTTTGGGGGGAGATGTGCATGGGGGGTTGTTTACATATTGGTACTTGACTTCACACCACGATCCATACTCTGGGGCAAATGGGCATCATGTGACTCTTAACCATCATAATGCTAATAGGATGCTCGTATCCCATTACCCCCACCCAGTTATCTCTACCAGATTGCTCATCTGGGTGATGACGACGAGGAGCCAGAGTTCTCCTCTGCAATGCCCCTGGAGGAGGGGGACACCTTCTTCTTCCAGCCTCGTCCACTGAAGAACCTGGTGCTTGTGGATGAACAGGACAGCCTCTCTCCCATCATGTGCTGCCAGGTACTGTGCTTACATTCTCACTCTCCTCAATGCTTAGTATTTCAAGGTTTCCTGAAGATACATTGAACTGTTTCTGGTCTGTCTGTCTTTGGTTTTTTTTTACTCTGGAGGTAGCCATACTGTGCCCCATAGACTGTATGCTGCTCCTTAACTACCTTATGCTTTTGGTAACTCTTTGTCCTTCCCTTGTTCAGATAGCGGATTTGGCCAATGAAGATACACCACAGCTCTATGTTGCCTGCGGTCGGGGACCACGTTCCTCACTTAGGGTTTTGAGACATGGACTCGAGGTGAGAAATCTGTCCATTTGTATAGAGTTACAGGCTTGCTATGATGAGTATTCATGTCTCTTCTCTGACAAACACATGGGGAAGGTTATAGAATGCTGAGCCTTCATAATATGTTAAGAGATTGTGTGTTCTGTCAGTGACTGCACCAGCTAACTGCCTGTCTAATTCTAGGTATCTGAAATGGCTGTGTCTGAGCTGCCCGGTAACCCAAATGCTGTGTGGACGGTTAGAAGGCACATTGAAGGTATGCACGCACCGTTCTGTGTGCTGAACAAGTGGCTTTATAGCTGTAAGGTTGTAGTACTGTCTAGCTGTTTGCAGTGAATGGAGAGCAGAGTGTGTGGGTTTACATGCCTACTTATGGCTACATTAGTGGCCTTGCAGTGGTACTCTGAATGGAATTTCTAAAATGAGGGGAGTCCTCTTTATTTGTCGTCCTAAACAGAGCTGCTGAAATAAACAGCTATCATATGTTCTCCAGTATCTAACCAGACTCGTCACACCGATGGAGCAGGCTAGCTATAATTAGTGAGGAAATCTTCTCCCTATTATAAATATTTGGTTTGTTCCCAGTTTAAAGATCCAATATCTTTAATAATGGAATTCTATTTTATGTATATGCAGACATCTAGAAGACTTGTGTGTTTTGGTATCCAGCTGCCTTCTCCCAGTCTTTGTAAGATTGGCAGTAGACTATATGTCTTAGCCGGCTGCTTCACAGTGAGCAGAGATTGCGCCCTCCTTTAACTGTGAGAGGCAGATTAGTAATAATTTTCATATAGTCCAAAGGTTTCTGTAAAAGATGATCTGATTAGTCCCCTTTATACAAGCTTCTGGGTTTTAGCTGTTTAAATTGATACAGAATTCTAAATTAAAGATGGGAAGCTCCCTGTATGGGCTACTGTCAGATGCTTACATTTTAAGTAATTCCTTGGGCTCTCTTCTCCTGCACTATGCTGTTCAATATTAAAATGTGTATAACCCTGTTTCTTAATGTCTGGCGATGCAGCATTTTTAATCAGGAACATGGTACGACTGGTTCCCCACACACCATCTCCTATCGAACTAACTCTGGCTGGTACTTGGTGATACACTCTCCCAATACCAAGCCTTTCTTTTTCTTCCGCAGGTATCTGGTGGGGGAGGAGGTGCTGGCTAACCCCCCTCCACACACACAGGTGTGTATCTGCTGCCGTCCCTTCTGCTGTATGAAGCTGGCCCTTCACTGCAGTTACAATAAGTCAGTCAGTTGGCAATGAACACACATGGTTACCTGACCTCTGATGTTAAAACTACTGCAAGCTCTCCTTTAGGACCATTTATCTGAGTGACTTTAATATGCATTCTTCTTCCTGCCCCTCTGTACCCCACTGATAGACACAGGGTAACATGGTAAACATGGGTGTGACTGGAATCCGTGTGTTTTATCTGTGTGAACATCTAGTACTTCCTCTCACACCTTCCCAACCTTTAAAAGACCTGGGGAGATAGTTGGAAGTGGTTATGGTGGGCTTGTAATTGGGCTGTCCAGCATGCTGTGTAAAACTGTCCTTCTAGTAAGTGTCAGCCATCTATCCTGAAACATTTGAGATTGGGGGGGGGGGGTGTATAGAAATGTTTCCAAATCTATTATTGAAAGATTCTTTTGTGGAACCGGCATGAGGGCAGTGTGTGTGTTTTATTTAGGAAAAACTCCAGGCACCATAACCACTAAAGAATGCTCCAATGTAATAAGTGAAACAATTTGCCAATGGCTTTATTTTTAACTGGTGACTGACAGTTTCTGTCCCCAGCCTCTTAAAGAGCCAGGAACTCTCTGCCTGAGCTAAGCGCGATAGTGTTGGGTGCAGCTCATTGGGTGAGAATGATCAGCTGGCATGCTCAGCCAATGAGCTGGCCTTGCTTTGCAGTGCTTACCTCAGAAGGGGCCGGGAGAGGCGTCTAGTGGCTCTAGGTAAGAAGTGGAATTGTCTAGAAGACAGTTTGACAACTTACATTAAGGGGTGCTTGGAGTGTACATAGTGAGTGTATGTTTGTATGAGGGTACCATTATATCAGTTATTAAGGAGATAAATACCGGTTATGTTCCAGATAAGTTGAAAATTAAACAATATGTGTATAATCTCAATACAGAGTGTCTTTCTGCAGACGTTGATGCATGCGGAGTCTTTTTCTGACTTGGCTTATGATTTAATATTGTTGGATAAGCTTTTCAAATGATACTTTGGGATACTTTTATTTAAAATATATTAACCATTATCCAAAATTATAAAATTGAGGCCTAAATTAGGTGAAACGGTCTCGTTTTATTTCGATTCGCCTTGTCTTTAACATGGCTGTCATGTCGGTCTCTGACTGTGTTCTTTGCTGTCCCCTCATGCAGATGAGTATGATGCCTACATCATAGTGTCCTTCGTGAATGCCACCCTAGTTCTTTCTATTGGAGAGACTGTAGAGGAAGTTACAGACTCTGGTTTCCTTGGAACAACGCCCACTCTGTCCTGCTCCTTATTGGGCGAGGACGCCTTAGTGCAGGTATGCGATGTCACTGGGATAGCAGTGTGATGGCACAATGTTGGGGCTTTGTTACATTCTGTTACTGATGGCATTGAGGGTTATCCTCTTGTTTTAGGTGTATCCTGATGGAATCCGGCACATCCGCGCAGACAAGAGAGTCAATGAATGGAAAACGCCAGGGAAGAAGATCATTGTGAAATGTGCTGTGAACCAGAGGCAGGTGGTGATTGCACTAACTGGAGGCGAACTTGTCTACTTCGAGATGGACCCAGTAAGTCACTGTGACTGCCTCCTGAGAATAGCTGCCATTTCCAGTTTAAACCAGCATTATTGATATGTTCTCACCATGTCATAGTTCCTCTTTTCTTGATATGTACAGTGTATGATGCTTAGTTTTTCACTATGGGAATGATTATTTGGGGTGTTTAGCTAAACATGCATTTGATTTCCTGCCTTCATTACAATAACCTGTTTGGGGGTGGTTAATTAGCGGCATGTCTTTCTGGGCAGTGAATGGAAAATGTTTGGCCAGTAATCTGTTTCTATGGATGCTGTCACATGGTTTTTGTTCTCTCCATTGTCAGTCAGGGCAGTTGAATGAGTACACAGAGCGTAAGGAAATGTCCGCAGACGTGGTGTGCATGAGTCTGGCTAATGTCCCACCTGGGGAGCAGCGATCACGCTTTCTGGCTGTTGGACTTGTAGATAACACTGTACGAATCATCTCACTGGACCCTTCGGTAAGTTTATTTTCTATTATATGTGTGACTTGTTATTCCTGATCTGGCTAGCGTGCTCCCAGCATTTTGATATTAAGGCTGATCCTGACACATGTGACCTCGATATCTGTCTCCCTCAGGATTGTCTCCAGCCGCTCAGTATGCAGGCTTTGCCTGCTCAGCCAGAGGCATTGTGTATTGTGGAAATGGGTGGAGCAGAAAGGCAGGACGAGCTCGGTGAGCGAGGTTCCATTGGATTCCTGTATCTCAACATTGGACTGCAGGTGAGAAGAGACATTTTTCTTTGTGTGAAGGTGTCTAGTTAATGTATTTGCAGTGAGATCGCCTGTTATGCGACACCTAGGGAGATGTATCCATATGTAATATCTGATTCTAATAATATTAGAACTGGGTTTATTGTGTTTTGCTGGATTGAGCAAAAGGCCAGGTTTGCCCAAATGCTGATGTTTCATGTTTACCTATTCCCGCAGAATGGAGTACTGCTGAGGACTGTGCTAGATCCAGTCACTGGTGACTTGTCTGATACGAGAACCCGATACCTGGGATCACGTCCTGTCAAGCTGTTTCGTGTCAGAATGCAGGGACAGGAGGCGGTGAGTGCATAGAACTATTCCGATTTATGAGGAATGGGACAGTAAGAAATTACAATATACAAGTAAAGTGTGTTAAGGCGCTTCTTACAAATTATACAATGGGGGTAAGATCCACAAACACTGATAGGTGAAGTGTTCCCCCCCCAAAAAAAACAAACAAAGGGACAAATACAGAATAAAACAATCTGTTTACATAAAATCACCAGTGGTAAAAAGTGTATGGAATTATAACACAAATACATCCATATCGCTAGCAGTTACTGGGATAATGGAGAAGACATAAAAACAAGATTAAAACAACATAGTGTGTAGTGTTAGTTACAGCCATTATCATGTAAATGCAGCTCCATACAGAGAATTCATCTTTCTTGTTCTCAGTAGCTGAGAGTTCTGAGGTCCGTATAAGTCATCGCTGATGCTCTTCTGTTTACAAACCAGCTGTTTTTATTGCTGACCGTATTGTCCGTTGTTGGGTGTCCTTCTATTGCTACTACTGGTTGGGCCGTCCCAATACTGAGCTACAGATTTATGGCTGAAATGCTGGAATCTGTGTGAATTTCATGACCAGTATATGGAGCTTTCAGGGTTCCTCAAATCTGTTTGTGGCAGCCACTGTCAGGTCTCTGGAAGTATGGGCCATCATGCTATCACTAATTTCAGGAGGAGCTGGAATCCAAACCCTTAATTCCACCTATAGCAGAATATGTAGGTTTAGAAATGGAGACTTTTTTTTTTATATATATATATATATATATATATATGTCTGCAATGCGTTCTAGTTGTCATGTTGGTTAACACTTTATTTTTTTTTATTTTTTCTTCATCATTTTGTCCTATTTTAGGTCCTTGCTATGTCTAGCCGTTCATGGCTGAGTTACTCTTATCAGTCCCGGTTTCATCTTACGCCTCTTTCCTATGAGACTCTGGAGTATGCATCTGGCTTTGCTTCTGAGCAGTGTCCAGAGGGTATAGTAGCTATTTCAACCAACACACTGAGGCAAGTACAGATATACCATTAGTAACACTATTTTTGCACTCCGCAGCCGCACGGCGTGTTGTGGTCCATTTTTTTTTTTTTTAGAAACAAGGTGTAGACTGATCTTCCAGTGTCAGTCTTCTCACTCCTGAGAGACCTTCATGCAGTCTAGATTGCATCCGGTTTTATTTTGTTTTACAGTCTAGCTCTTTGCTTAGCAGAATGTTTATATGTATTTTGGAAAAGTGTCATGTTTTTACTTTTGTTTTTTTTGTATTTTAATTTATGAAAGTGTTTTTCTTCCCTTCAGAATTTTAGCTTTGGAAAAGCTGGGAGCAGTATTTAACCAGGTGGCTTTTCCTCTTCAATATACTCCTCGCAAGTTTGTAATCCATCCTGAAAGTAACAACCTGATCATTATAGAGACCGATCATAATGCGTACACAGAGGCCACCAAGGCCCAACGCAAGCAGCAGATGGCAGAGGTGAGGCTTGAAGCTTATATGTAGGGTTAAATCCGTTTCCCTCCTTAATGTATCCTTGTCTCAATCATTTAACCTAGAAACTGATCTATACCGCATTACACGGCACATGGTTCCTGGTTCTCAGACCTTGTATGTCTTCTCCCGTTTAGGAAATGGTGGAAGCGGCAGGAGAAGATGAGAGAGAGCTTGCCGCAGAGATGGCTGCAGCATTCCTGAATGAGAATCTGCCAGAGTCCATCTTTGGTGCCCCCAAGGCTGGAAATGGCCAGTGGGCATCAATTATCCGTGTCATGAACCCCATCCAAGGAAACACTTTGGACCTGGTGCAGCTGGAGCAGAACGAAGCTGCCTTCAGGTTAGGCTGGAGCTGTATGGTTTCATCTGTCTTCATATCTGAAGTTAAAGCATTCCTATTAATGTAGGAAAAGATCTGTAGATCACTGTTGGGACCAGCAACCTCATCTGTACTGTCTGTCATATTAAACGAACCCACCCATCTCCCTAACTCATGTCATCCTCCTTTGCAGTGTGGCCGTCTGTCGCTTCAGTAACACCGGCGATGACTGGTATGTTCTGGTGGGTGTGGCCAAGGACCTTATCCTGAACCCACGCTCTGTCGCTGGTGGGTTGGTTTACACCTACAAACTAATAAACAATGGAGAAAAGCTGGAGTTTGTGCACAAGGTATGTGCTTCATGGGATGGGAGCTCTGCCAGCCTGGATGGGTGGATGGATTGTAACTGAACTTTCTCTGCAGACATCAGTTGAGGAGGTTCCCGCTGCGATCGCTCCATTCCAGGGGCGAGTGCTGATCGGGGTAGGAAAGTTACTGCGCATTTATGACTTGGGGAAGAAGAAACTGCTGAGAAAATGTGAAAATAAGGTTTGTGGACAGATTCTGAAACCGCTGTGGAAAAGGGGCTGGGTCATGGGTTAACTGGGTATAACTAATGATGTGTGTGTGTGTGTGTTTCATGTGCTAATTTTGGCAGGAAGTCTGTATTTGTATACATAAAGCTTCATGTATCCCAGAGCAGTCAGTTTGTGTATTGATTCTGTGCAATGGAGAACAATTCTGAAGTTGCTTTTACTAGAAATAATCTAGCGAGGGGTATAAAGAAAAGGCTTGGTGGAATTAGATTAGATTTGTAACATTTCTCCTGGACTCTCCATTGAAGTCCTATTTCAGAAGCCATGCCTCATTGTATAATATGGGAATGTTTTATATCTGTATGGGAGGCTACTGCTATATGATGCCAGTCATATAATTATTCTTCCCTTTGTCACTTAGCACATTGCCAACTTTATTGTTGGTATCCAGACCATCGGGCAGCGTGTGATTGTGTCTGACGTACAGGAGAGCTTTATATGGGTGCGTTACAAACGCAATGAAAACCAGCTGATCATTTTTGCAGATGATACCTACCCTCGCTGGGTCACTACTTCCTGCCTTTTGGACTATGACACGGTAGCCGGGGCTGACAAGTTTGGAAATATCTGCGTGGTGAGTGGAGGTCATAGCTGGATACTGTTTTATGCTGCGATGTTGTGCTAGTGCACCTACAGCGTGACATAAGATGTTTTGTGTACTACCAGTTGTTTGTTTTATTTATATAAGGCCAGTAAATTCCGTATAGCTGTACAATGGGATATTGTGTATTTGTAATATCCTCTGTGTATGCATAAGGAATACAAAAAGCCAGAGCCCAGGCTTTACCATAGGTGTGTCCAATAAAGGAACCGTAACCAGAGGAAGGAATTTAACAGCGTTTTCCACAGTGATTTCTCCAATTTTCTGTTAATGACAAACCTCTTCTGGTGGGATAAAGCTTTTTGGGTTCATTTACTATCAAAATGTGTACAGAAATTTGGTGAAAATTCAGTGCTAAGAGCCAGTGTGAAAATGGTCATGCAAAAATGGAAAACCCTCAGTAGCTCAAGGGTTAACCATGTGCTGGATGGCCAACCACCACCTTTAAAGGGTTACTTCAACCACCATGACCACTTCTGCTTTTCATTGGGAGTCTGTGATTGGACAGCCACAGAAAGTCTGGGCGTGGCTAGAAGGTGACTGTTTGCAAAGGCTGCAGACTCGATAGGCTCTCAGTGGAAAAAATACATTAAAAGTGTTCAGGTGGTAGTATATCTACTAAATAGGGATTTGTTTTTGTGTTTTTATATATTCTGCAGCGATGTGTCATGTTTTTAAAAACACAAACTGCTTCGTTAAGATAAAATTGTTTAGGATGTCTCTTACAAGCAGTTTCATTGGGATTGTTGCTGGCCATTGGTTTGATTTCTACACCCTTCTTTGATGGATATTGCTTTTGTAAAAGACTTGAGGCATTCTATGAGCATATCAACTTCAACATTGAGAGATACATTTTTTTTTACTCGTGGTATAAAACTGGATAGGAGAAATAGTATCAGGGTGATTGCAGTAGATGTGCTTTATTCTGCTGGTTCGGACTGGCCTCTCCTGATGGTTTTTATATCCTCTGTCTTCAGGTGCGATTACCTCAGAATATAAATGATGATGTTGATGAAGATCCCACTGGTAATAAAGCCTTGTGGGACAGAGGTCTTCTCAATGGTGCTTCCCAGAAGGTAATGGCCTGCCTTTCTCTCCAATTTTTGCTTCTGTTTGTGTTTGTTTTCTCCCTCTAACGGAATTTGGTCTGTTTTCCCCTCAGGCGGAGGTGATCATGAATTACCATGTGGGAGAGACTGTGCTGTCACTACAGAAGACTACACTTATTCCGGGTGGCTCCGAATCGCTGGTCTACACTACTTTATCAGGAGGGATTGGAATCCTTGTTCCCTTCACATCACATGAGGTGACTTGGCAAGCCCAGCATTCTCTATGGCCCTTTGTGACATGTAGCCATGTTAGTTATGACATTTTATACCAATGTGTATAGTGAGACTTTTAAATCTCTTAAAGGGACACTATAGGCACCCAGACCATTTCATGACATTGTAGCGATCTGGGTGATCTTAGCCCCTGTGATGTAAAACTTGAGAAGCTGTACTGTTTATATTGCGAGACTAAGACCGCCACGAGGCGCCAAAAGCGTGAACCCACGCCTTCTAAATCCACATAGAAAGCATTGATTCAATGCTTTCCTATACAGAAGGCCCAATGCACATAGCACTCACTGCCATTAGGTTTCCATATTGGCTGGTGGAGGAAGAGCTCGACCCAGTGCCGAGGGACCTCCATGCTGAAAACTGCTATTTAACCCTTTTCATGGCTAGGGGTGAGACATGGAGCAGAGGAACATCGATTTGAAGCATTGCTATAGATGGACAGCGTTCCTTTCACCTGACCGTGTGCATGTTTATCCTTTCACCTGACAGTGTGCGTGTTTATCCTTTCACCTGACAGTGTGCGTGTTTATCCTTTCACCTGACAGTGTGCGTGTTTATCCTTTCACCTGACAGTGTGCGTGTTTATCCTTTCACCTGACAGTGTGCGTGTTTATCCTTTCACCTGACAGTGTGCGTGTTTATCCTTTCACCTGACCGTGTGCGTGTTTATCCTTTCACCTGACCGTGTGTCCTGTTTCACATGTAGAATATTAATCCATGCATCTTCTCCTTACTTTTCAGGATCACGACTTCTTTCAACATGTCGAGATGCACTTGCGCTCTGAGCACCCCCCGATCTGTGGTAGAGACCACCTTAGTTTCCGCTCTTATTACTTCCCAGTCAAGGTGAGTGTTTGTTTTTTTTTGCTTGTCCTATTTACAGTAAGGGCTGTGCCATTACTCATCAAGTTAATGTGATGGATAGCCAGGCTGTCCTAAAACAAGCCTCTATGAACACTTTATACTTTACAATGGAAGCTCTGTGTAGGATTTAATTGGCATCCTTGGAGCCATGCAATATTATCCATCCATTATTATTATTAGCCTTTTTATAGCGCCAACATATTCCACAGAACTTCACAATTCTGCAAAGGCCATATTTAGAGGTGAAGGAGCTGATTGCTCTACAGCTGGTAACAATCACCATGGAAACAATGTTCCTACTGATTGCTCTACAGTTGTAACAATCACCATGGAAACCAATGGAATGTTCCTGCTGATTGCTCTACAGTTGTAACAATCACCATGGAAACCAATGGAATGTTCCTGCTGATTGCTCTACAGCTGTAACAATCACCATGGAAACCAATGGAATGTTCCTGCTGATTGCTCTACAGTTGTAACAATCACCACGGAAACCAATGGAATGTTCCTGCTGATTGCTCTACAGCTGTAACAATCACCATGGAAACCAATGGAATGTTCCTGCTGATTGCTCTACAGTTGTAACAATTACCATGGAAACCAATGGAATGTTCCTGCTGATTTCTTCTTCAATGCCCCCAACGAAGGCCAATAGATTAGAAATATTGTATCCTTCGTGCTCTGATATCACTGCCTATTTTCATTTCACAGAATGTAATAGATGGAGATCTGTGTGAACAGTTCAATTCAATGGAGCCAATAAAGCAGAAAAGTGTTGCAGAGGAGCTGGACAGGACGCCCCCAGAGGTCTCCAAGAAGCTGGAAGACATTCGCACACGCTATGCCTTCTAACCAGGGTCAATGACCCTACATATTGTTTGAAGATCTGTTTGCGCTCTGGTGCCCAGCCATGGTTGTAGAGCCATTGGTTTGATGTTGTGGACAATGGGCGCACTTATAAATCCTGTGTGGGTGTACAGATGGTAATAGGCCAGAGGTCACATCCTGGAGAAGACTGGTTTCCCTTGTGGCGTCTGACACATTCTGTCTCTTGCTCTGCTCTTGGTGAGCAGCTTTTGGTTAAACAGATCGTTTTTATTCGCCCACCCTTTCAGGCTGTAAATATAGTTTTGTATAATAATGTTTTTTGTTTTAAGCATTGAACCTGTCTGAATAGACTTTGCAGTTGGATAATATTGTCTGAATCTGATGACTGAGTAAAAATAAATATTTTTTTTTTTTTTTAATATTCATTATTCATTGTTCCTGCTTGTTGATATAACCATTTATTAATCCCTGAAGTGCAACATTCATAAGTCTAAACACGAAAGACCTGGGGCCAACATGGAACCTGAATATTCATCCCTGCATTCATCAAATGAGATGGGAGGGGGACATTACACTGCTGCTACTGTACCCCATTGTAAGTTGTAATGTTTGGCTTCTTACCTGAGCTCTGCTGGCTGCAGCTCCCTGCCTCCACTACTAATGCCAATACTAAGCAGGAATTCTCCTGAAAAAGCTCATTGGCTGATAGTCAGCTGATTACATGCAGGCAGGCAGCTGTGAGAGCACTGCCAAACCCAGGTAAGATGTTAAGTCACTCTGAGAGGGTACGCATTCTATAAACCGTGCCGTAAAATGCTAAACTTCAATTCTGTGCATTTGTGACAAATCCTCAGCCTGTGCATCATCTAAAGTCAGTTTCCATTAAATCAGCAAGTAAGCGACTGTTCTAAAAGCAAACTATTAAACTAAAAATCCCAGAAACCAGAGCCATGGCATAGCAGGGTTTTTGCAGATTTATTCCCCCCAAAAACTGTGTTTTCTTTAAACTAAAACAAAACTAATATTCATATGATTTGTGTGGTTGCTATGAGTGTCCCTTAAAGGGGTCTCTCGCCCATAAAAAGTGACCACTGGAGTTCAGACTTAAGTTGTCCACGTGCGGTTATTTCCATTTAATGAGATTGAGAGGCCGCCAACATTCTCTCCTGTTCAGAGTATGTAGGAAACCAATGTATGTTTAGGTGTATTCCGTGGTATCACAGAGGTCACACTTTATCCCCTCTGAAATCACTGTTTTCTTACAATGTCCCCAAGGTCGTCTTCTAGAAGGTGATCATAGAAGGGGTTATTGCAGGTGTTGTGTTGCTTTAGTCAACATTCAGACAGACGTGTGCAGTTTCCGATCACAGCACATGACAGTCCTATACATTTGTTTTAAATACTGTGAGTACTTGTGCTGGAGCCATATGTTCTCCAAAGCATGGGACCTGAGATCACCTAATGTTTATAATGTATCAGATGACCCTTGACGTCACTGTCTGCACTGGAGCTAGGACACAGAATGAACATTGAGAAACCTTTTAAAGAGAAACGTTTCTATATTGAAACCGTGTGTGGAAACTAACATCTGCACAGCTTCCTAGAATGTTCTTGATCATACGCAGATTGGGTGCATGCAGAGTGACCTTCATTCCGAGACACTAACTATGAGAGAAAGTCGCATGGCCTGCGCTGCAAGTCTCACATTTTATTCACAGATTTCTGGAATATAAACATTGATCCAGCGTCCTGAAAATACCAGGAAAAGGGTCCTCCTACAGCAGTTTTGTATAACTTTGTAAACCACTTTATTCTGCACAAATATATAGAGCCTGCGATGACCCTTTTCAAGAGTCTTTCCTTTATATTCTACACCTTCCATATTGTCATGCACAGCTTATGTAATATTCATTTAAAAAAAAAAAAAAAGTGCATCCACTTTATAAAGGAATGCATTGACGAAGTACGCTTAAAATACTTTTTTTTTTTTTTTTTTTTAAACATTCGGCATTGGAGAAGCGTTTTTAAACTGGGCAAATCAAAGAGCGGAGTATCACCCGCAAAGATGAGGAAATGGCGGTGCTGGAATGGGGTACAGTGAGGAAATTTGGGGATGATTTACCCAAATTTAACATGTAAACCGATCACATTTTAGTCAGCATTGCTTTATAACGTCTGCAGGTCCTCTCTTTAAAACTCGTTACATAAAATATAAAAACTAGTGAGGAAACCAAAGCAGTGTGAAACAGGCCCTGCTCCAACAAGCTCCCACTTTCTGAAAAAAGTACAAAACAAAGGATGAAGTGCACAGTGTCTGGGGAGGGGAGACTGCCAGGCATAGGTCCTGCACATGAACAATATGGAGGTTTGCTAGCAAAACGTCTCACAATGAATATACTGAATCTTCTGCTCTGCCAAAAGCATGGCAAAAAAACATCTGTAGCGTTAATAGCAGGAAGGAGTAAGATGGTGTACACAGGATACATGCTTGTCACTCTCAGCTGGTTATATATAATATACACACACACTGCTAAAAAAAATAAAGGGAACACAAAAGTAACACATCCTAGATCTGAATGAATTAAATATTCTTCTGAAATACTTTGTTCTTTACATAGTTGAATGTGCTGACAACAAAATCACAAAAATAAAAAAATGGAAATCAAATTTTTCAACCTGTGGATGTCTGGATTTGGAGTCACTCTCAAAATTAAAGTGGAAAAACATACTACAGGCTGATCCAACTTTGATGTAATGTCCTTAAAATGAGGCTCCGTAGTGTGTGTGGCCTCCACGTGCCTGTATGACCTCCCTACAACGCCTGTGCATGCTCCTGATAAGGTGGCGGATAGTTTCCTGAGGGATCTCCTCCCAGACCTGGACTAAAGCATCTGCCAACTTCTGGACAGTCTGTTGGTGGATGGAGCGAGACATGATGTCCCAGATGTGCTCAATTGGATTCAGGTCTGGGGAACGGGCGGGCCAGTCCATAGCATCAATGTCTTCGCCTTGCAGGAACTGCTGACACCCCAGCCACATGAGGTCTAGCATTGTCTTGCATTAGGAGAAACCCAGGGCAAACCGCACCAGCATATGGTCTCACAAGGGGTCTGAGGATCTCATCTCGGTACCTAAGGCATTAAGGCTACCTTGGGCGAGCACATGGAGGGCTGTGCGGGTTCCCCCAAAGAAATGCCACCCCACACCATTACTGACCCACTGCCAAACCGGTCATGCTGGAGGATGTTGCAGGCAGCAGAATGTTCTCCACAGTGTCTCCAGACTCTGTCACGTCTGTCACATGTGAACCTGCTTTCATCTGTGGAAAGCACAGAGCGCCAGTGGCGAATTTGCCAATCTTGGTGTTCTCTGTCAAATGCCAAACGTCCTGCACGGTGTTGGGCTGTAAGCACAACCCCCACCTGTGGACGTCGGGCCCTCATACCACCCTCATGGAGTCTGTTTCTGACCGTTTGAGCAGACACATGCACATTTGTGGCCTGATGGAGGTCATTTTGCAGCGCTCTGGCCCTGCTCCAAAGGCAGAGGTAGCGGTTCTGCTGCTGGGTTGTTGCCCTCCTACGGTCTGCTCCACGTCTCCTGATGTACTGGCCTGTCTCCTGGTAGCGCCTCCATGCTCTGGACACTATGCTGACAGACACAGCAAATCTTCTTGCCATAGCTCGCGTTGATGTGCCATCCTGGATGAGCTGCACTTCCTGAGCCACTTGTGTGGGTTGTAGACTCCGTCTCATGCTACCACTAGAGTGAAAGCACCACCAGCATTCAAAAGTGACCAAAACATCAGCCAGGAAGCATAGGAACTGAGAAGTGGTCTGTGGTCACCACCTGCAGAACCACTCCTTTATTGGAGGTGTCTTGCTAATTGCCTATAATGTCCACCTGTTGTCTATCCCATTTGCACAACAGCATGTGAAATTGATTGTCACTCAGTGTTGCTTCCTAAGAGGACAGTTTGATTTCACAGAAGTGTGATTGACTTGGAGTTACATTTTGTTGTTTAAGAATTCCCTTTATTTTTTTGAGCAGTGTGTATGTGACAGATTCATCTGTATTGCTGGTTCGTCTGTTTCCCTTTGTTCGCTGGATTCCCTGTTCGTATATCCCCGTTCGTGTAATTTGCAAACTACCGATTGAAACTACCGAACGAACGACCACCCAGGAGAGGAGTGTGCTGCTGGTTAACCTCTTGGCCCCAATTAGAACGTTGTGGTTAACCGCAGACACCTCTCCATTCCATTCGTACGGGTGGTCGTCGTTCGCATGTCGACCACGAGGCAGTGGCCATTTTGGGACACACAAACGCATAGCGGTGTTCGGTACAAACTGTATGGATCTAAAAACGGACACTTAAACTACCGAACACCGCTGGAAGCTGATGCCCACCTTCTATTTTGACAAGGCATGCGAACGTCGGTCGTTCGGGAGTTTTTATTGCATTCGTATGGACTTTTACCCAGACAGCCGTCCCATGGAGTCATTCGTATACCGAAGGACTGGTGCAAGACTTTGACTCCATGGCGATTCGACTAGCTACATCGGATCTGAGCGCTATTCGGTGAAAATGTGCACTCAGATCCAGGCTGTCTGGGGATGCGTTACACAAACTATATTCATTCGGTATTTCTTCAGTTATGTATTTTAATGTATTTTTATTACTGTAATTTAAAATGGCGATTGTCTCTACCTTGTGAGATAATTAGGTTTCTTCCTAATTATCTCCGGGGTAGAGAAGACGGATTTATGGGTAAGATGGGAAGGGCTTATATTGAAGCAACTGCGATTGGCTACTGTCCAATATGTTTTACAGTCTTCCACAAGGTCCCCTCGGGGAGTGTCCACCTTGTGGAGACCTGCATAAATACCGGGCAGGTAGCCCCCATTAAACAGATCTTTATTTGAAAAAAGACTTTAAACTGGCAATAGTAGTAGTGTATTCTGGACAACTTGGAAGTCCGTGCCTTAAAAAACCTACAGTCATGCGATGTTGGGCTGTTGGGAGA